CATGGTCAAGTCAACCAAAGCTGCTATTCGAGCCAATTTATCCTGAGTTTCATATGTTTCGGTAGTCGCTTGTCCTCTTGGTTTCTAGCTTTGGTTGATATGTAGCTGGCACTTGCTTGCGTCCTATGTGGTTCCAGCTTGAGTGGTGAACGCAAGTCTTGCAAGTGGTTGCGTCGTCCAGATACCTGTGTGCTGTCGTTTTGTCGCACACAACATTGATTGGCACAACCGCTATGAGGTATCGGTTCTACGTCTTCGTTGTGTACCTATGCGAAGAATTTCCAAAGGATACTGCGAAAATGCACGTGGGAAAGCATGTACGTGATGTAGTGGTGTGAGCCATCCTAGCTATCACACCTGTTTTACACCCCTTGACGCCCTTTGTACGTGGGTGCCTCCTGTAAGCGCACCGCATCACTCGAGCGACATTATTGTCACACCCCCGTAGGTAGGGTCTTGTGGGCGCACTGCAACCACACGGGCGACATTATCACCCCCCCGTCAGGCCGGGTCCTGTGAGCGCGTATCATCACACGGGCGAAGTTATCACACCCCCTTGTTATCACACCCCCTGTATGCCGGGTCCTGTGAGCGCGCTTCATCACACGGGCGACGGTATCACACCCCCTTGTTATCACACCCCCTTGTTATCACACCCCCTTTTGGTGAGACTCTGTGAGTACACCTTATCACACGGGTGACATAAGATATCACACCCCCTACAGAATACCACACCCGTGTGATAACTTTCGTCCTCCCGAAAATATTATCACACGGGTGTGGTATCTTATGCAACCTACGGTACACGTAACTACACAGTATCTACTATTATTATTGTACCATAGCTCGGCCTCGCGCCCTCCTCTCAGCGCGCGGGAAAACCCCGCGCGGCGCAGCGGAAGCAGGCTGTCGAAAAATCCGGAAGAAATGCGCCCCGTGGGGCTCGAAGGCGCCCAAAAAGTGCTCTAGGCGCACGAGAGAGCAGCGTTCAAATCACTTGGATTCAGAGTTCAGATCTACGAAAAATCAACTTCGTTAATTGTACTTACTTCTATGCATAGTTAGTTCCGTCCGGAAGATGAACAAACTGGGACCGGCCCGCAGAACTCCTCTGCGGGCGATGCTATATTAATTTCGCGCGAAGCGCGAAAAAATACGAAGAGGCGTTTGGGTTGACGCTTCTTTTTTTTCTCCTTTTTGTGCCCTGTTTTTGACTGCTATCTCGCTCAAATCGAGCCTGATTTCAAAACCGTTTTTTGCTCTCCATTCCCTGGCACTTCTCTGTTCCAGCAGAGCGACGGGGAGGGGGCCCGCCGCTGGCTTCGCTCGACTCGTAGGACCCCAGCCGTCAAGAAAAAAAAAAACGCAAGGGGAACACTGAAAATGAAACGTGTCCCTTGCCAATAGGATGACAACATTGATGAGCACTTTCTTTGCCTTCAACATTTCCCTGTAAACAGGTGACCGACGGCAAATTGGATACGCCGCCAAATTCCGCTGAACCAGCAATCTACCCTTCAAAGAACCAGCCAAGTGCAACTGAGGAGCACACACGAAGTCATTCGTTTGAGCTACTCCTTCCACCTCTCTTGGTTTTCGGAGCTAGTCGGCATTTATTTGCGGATGATCCAGCCGTTGTGCAATACATAAACATCTCCGATAGGACTTGAGGAGGACGGATTATACAGAGGTAGAAACAGCTCTGCGTGCTCCTTCTGCTGCTTGTCGCTGACTCCGGAGTTCAAAGTTTCCGGCCACACAGACAGGTGTGTACAAAAACGTGTATTTTGTCTGGTCGGTAATGGACGCCAGCACAAGTCGTACAAGCCCCACATGCACATGCCCAACCCACTGCTGCTGTTCACCTGTCAACGTTCCCCTACGACACATGCTGTGAGTGGGATGACACAACTACACGACCACAACTGAGGACAACAAGAGGACACAGGGAGTACCAGCTGGAAAGTATGTACTGCTGTAATGCCCGCAAACATTCCAAATCACACCTACATACATATTATATCCGCTGTTGAGGTTGTTGTTGATCGTCGTCTCTGACGCCACACTCCCAACATAACAACAACACGAGCAAGCGCTTACTGATAAGCCCACCAACACGAAATGACCTGTACTAGAATACCTGCGTAGTATCTTACGGAGGCAACATCCCTTGTAATCATCGTAAACCCACACATGCCATCGACGTATCTATGCATACAGCTCCGCCTGCACCACAAGGGTGCCACCGATAGCACACCCGACGAACCAACTACCCAACACCTTCCTTTTCTGCACCTTCTCAGCACAACATACAGACAGATAGACAGATAGATGCACAAAACGGCTACCAAACTGTCTTGTTGAGCCTGTTACCCACAGGCCCTGGGGAGATATCGCTGTGTGCTGCTCGGGAAACCGTGGAAATGTAGCTTTCTCTGACGCTCGCTATGAATTCATTGCTAATATATCTCAAGACTCTTTTCCTAGATAGAGATGGATTCGTTGGGTCATATTCAGAAAATAAAAAAAATAAAAAGAATGAAACGGAGTCTCCCGAGATGCTCCGAAAAAAGAAGAGCGAATGGGCGGCAGATGAGCGCGATGCTGTGATGCATATATATGTATGTTGTAGATACCAGCACGCACGCCGACACCACGCCGAACAAAGAGCCATCAGACCTTGCACGCACATCCTACGCAGCCCTCGCTCTCGTCTTTGCTCATAGAGCGCATCACCCGCCTATTGATGATCTACAGGAGGAGCAGTCAGCAGTAGTCATCATGCCCCACCTCCTTCCTTCAGACAGTAAGAAATACACGCATGCACCCGTCATACGTAGTCCCGCTAGACAGCAAGCACGACACACAACAGACTCTATGGCGGCTGCAGCAGCAGCAGAAGAAGGAGAACACGCGCTGCATGGCGGGTGTTCAGTTTGAGCTTGTTGGGGTTAGGTCTCTCGGACGAAAAAACTCAATCTGTGATCCCGCGGTTCGTTGTTGTTCGCAGTCGAAAAAACGCAACAACAACCGACGTAGCTGCCTGCTGCCGCCTTGTAGCTCACCCATTCCCGTCGGAGGGGTCGTGCAAGCATCTCGGCTACACAGAGCTTGTGGTTCACGTGCGGATTCCCTAACAAGCACAACACGCTAGCTAGAAGCATTGTGCAGCAGCAGCGGGAGCACAACGGGCGCTGCATGATGACACACACGGTGTGGACATTGATGATGATGAGCGTTTCAGGAAAAAGGACCCTCGACCACAAGTCAACTTGCTCCACCGCATCAATAATGCAGAAACCGGTTCTCACGCCACAGCAAGCGATAGCTGCTCAAACAACAGTGAGAAGTCTTGAAATCGTCTCAGCTATACAGAACTAGAGGAAGTCCTCCGAGGTTCGCAGTGTGGGCTGAGATCGGCTTTTGAGACCGGTCGGGCAAGGGGTGGGCGATGCTAATGAAAATTCCACAGGAGGAGAATATTTGATCGACTGAGGCCAATTCTTTTTGAAGGTCTGCATTTTGGCTGGAAACCACAGAATCAAGTGGAAATTCGAAATTCGAAGTTCCACGGTATCGAGAGAGCAGCTGCGATTCTTGAGACCAACCCTTACGGTCAGAAAAGTGGCTTTGAATCGACAGACCACCAACTGACGGTTGACAGACCACCATCTGACAGTTGGTTCCTTTCGAACACCACACACGACACACGACTGCGACAGACATCAAAACAGCGCGGCTACTACCTACGCCGCCGTAGGATCGGGAGCGATACACACACAAACCTGACCAACTACCCCTGCTCTCTCTGTGTCAATTAGCACAACCCTCAACACAAGCAAAAATATAGGCAACGGCCGTTTGTTGTATAATTGTAAATGAGAGCATGCAGCAGCAGCGATACCATGGATCTACTACATACAATGCTGTGCCCTTTTTGCCTTTGAGAAAGGGTGTGTCGTCTGCTTCTCCACCAAATGCTCTCCACATTATCCCAGCAGAGAGTTAACACACACACACGCACACGTCCAACATCTGATCTGTTCATCATCAACACGATACACATCGCGCACACGAGTGCACGGCGGTGCACGGGTGTGGTGCAATCGTGCTATCGGTGCCGTGCGCGCGCAACAACGCCTGCACGACGGCCTCAAACCCAAATCGTAGGGAAAAATTCCCGCTACGATTTGGGCGATTTGGGCTCCAAATCGTAGCGGGCAGAGCGATTTCGGGGTATATACGATTTCAAATCGCGTTTCCGGCAAATAACAGCACCTTAGGGGTCGGTATGTTCTGTCAGCCGCACTACAAACCCAAATCTCAGCAACTGCAGACCTTCCATAAGAATTGGTCTGAGACCCAAGCTTGGGAAAAGAGTCCAAGATCGAGTAGCAATGAATCCATAGCGTCCGCCCGTGGGCAGCCCATGGCCTGCCCATGAACTGCCCATGAACTGCCGACTGTAGGCACTTCAAGCTAGAACATCGCCACACCGCGCATATCAACCTAGAACTTGGCCACCGCGCACATCAACCCACAACTTAGCCACCGGCACATCAACCTAGTTTAACCCCCGCGCCAACCTAGCACGTATCGTGTGAGCTTGGGGTTGGGGTTAGCGTTAAGGTTTTTAGCCGTTTGAATGCCCCTTGCAAAGCACATATTGTTCAGCAGTACACTACATTAGATGAAGGGCACTCATTGACGGTCCATGGGACGCCCATCAGCAGTGGCGTCGTAGCGTAAGGACTTTTCACACAGAGCAACAGCAGGCAGGGTGGGTGCGTGAGCCCGCCGCGATTACTATGCCGTTCGCGGATTGGAGGCGGCAATCCATCACTTAGGTCTACCGTAGAGAAATCATGCAAGACGTCGTTCGAAGCAGCTACATAGTTGCGCGTCGTGAGAAATTCCTCGAGTACGGTCTGGTACTTGTAAGGGGTCTCGTAGCAGGGTTGCATCTGTTCCAGTCAGTACAGCTGGCTACTCTATTTCTTAGCACGAGAGCTCGAGAGAGGCACAGAGAGAGGCACAGTGTGAACAGCACACAATACTCGTGCTTCCTTGTCCGTCCACCTGTCACACGCTTGGTGACCGTCAAATCTAAATTCATGCAGTCCCGCCGAAAACCCGTCCCGTATAGGTGCACTCCACAGCGTCGGGGCCGTCCGTTTTGCCTTCCGGGATGAAAGCCAGCGAGACCGAGTTCACGCAGTGCCGCTCGTTTGGTTCCGGGTTGCCAAACCCCTCTCCACGGAAAACGTGCCCCAAGTGCCTTAAGTGACAAAAGCAGGAATAAAAAGGGAACGCCGCGTGATGATTGCATTGAATTGAGTGAAAAAGAAGGTAGACAACGGACACAGGTTCCAAGTATTCAACACGCACACACGACATCATTCAGACCAACCCAGTAGCCTTAGGCGACTCGCCTCGGCCCGTCCATTCACACATGTACCTCCCTCCCGTTTTTCCCGGATGGGGCATTGGGAGTCTGGTGGGCGGCTGTGATCCCTTCACCACCCCAGCATTTCTACCTAGGAGTTTCTGCAAGCAACCACCAAAGCGCGGCCAACTCAAGGTATGCACGTGGGCATCTATTCGTGCGCCGCTCTGACCAACGCTTAACCCTTTTGGGCCTACAGGTGTACTGACTGATCATTGATTGATCATTGGCAAATGCGGGTGGGGTGGCAAGCCATGGAGTTCCCGCCCTCTGTAGCCCTCCACGCCCGGTGTTGGGAATTCCGTAGGGGTGTAGTTAATTATTGCATCGGCCGCGTATAACGGGCTGACCACTGAAAAGGCGTCAGTCCCAGCGGGTAAAACCTATATCTACGTAGCGGTTTCCTACGTTCGGGCGAGGGCATGTGTGGAGCTATGATGTGCATGTACATGTCGTCTATGCTATTTTGTTTGACTCGTCTACACTGCCGCTGTTGTGTAGTGTAGCAGCTGACACCATGACTGCTGGATCTTTGGAATGACGTACGACTGTGAAATGATTGATGCAGCATACCGCGATATCCTGGCTCCGGCTGGGCTTGGAATACCCCTATTGTTGGAGCCCTCCGCTCTTTGGATCAGTGGCTGTGTAGGTTCGGACGAGGGTATGCGTGGTGCTGTGATGTGTGTCGCTGTCAAATAATATGTAGAGAGATCAAGTTTGGCATTCGCATTTTGCGCATTGCGCGTATTTTGCCCCGCTTCCCGATACCTATCTACAGTAGGTGTGTGCTGGTGTCCTGGGGTGCTTGTGGGAAAAAACCGGAGCTCTAGTGAGCTCGCAGGGCTCACATGAGGGGGGGGACAGAGAAGTACAGGAGTAATACCAGCTATGGCCCTTCACTGGTCATTTGACTGATCATTATCGGTGTATACTGAAAACAGAGTAGTTGAGGTAGCCAGACGACTGATCATGTCAAGGTCTACAAAGGTCACCTGCCCTACCGGCCGCAGCGTGACCACCCATCACCCCTCCTATAATTCTGTCTGTGGCCACCACCCTGCCCGCATGTAGCTGTTGTGTCTACAGAAGTACACTACTCTCGTTTGCTGTGTTTCTGTCTCTTTTTCTTTCGGCGGTGGGAAAAAAAATCGACGCCGAAACGGAACTTAGGGCCAACGGGGTTAAGCGACTGACTCGCACCAAAGATCAGCGTACCGATGTCATGCTTCACGCGCACTTTGCGCTCGTCCTAGAAACGTCACGTAGGAGGGCCTACATCTCAGGGTCGAGCATGATCTGGAGGACGATCCCCTCGCCTTCGATCCCAACCGTCTGCTAACAAAACGCCCCTCCCGCGCCAAACGTATCTCGCCAGCACCACAACGTCATCAGCAGCAGAAACAGCAGTAACACCAACGACGCTCACCCTCCGCAGCCGGAGCAGAGGATCTCGCACCGCCTTCCGTCTGCGTCCTTCTCTTCGTAAACAGCGTCCTGGATGTTTGTCCAAAAGCCCGGCCAGCCGCACCCGCAGTCAAACTTGTGGCTGTCCTCGTAAAGAGGAGTCCGACAGCCTGGTTCGTATCGTACACACACACGCGCAGATCAGAACAAGACGGCACACGGAGCCGGATTTTATTACGTCCTGTGAACCCCACTCGCCCGCCCGTCCGCTTCGCCTTTGTTCGTAATCTTAATCCGGTTTTGTTTTACATCTGAGTAGTATAGGGGGTCCCGTCGAGGATGAAAGTTGAGTGTCCTCCCTCTACAGTCCGTGGGCAAACGTACCCCCCACCCACCCACCCCACCTCTCGCCAGACCATGGACATCAGCACGTCAGTCAAGACGCAGACAGACGTTCTCGGTCGACCGAGACGACCAACCCCCCAGGCAAGCCCAACAAAGCACACGCACCCGCACACACGTACGTCCCCTTGTCGAACACGTCGTCGAAGCCTCCACTTGCTTTTCGGACCCCCGCGGGCTCCGTCGCCTTGCCACGAAGAACCTATACATTACGTATTTTTGGTGCGAGCATTTCTTACATCACAAGAGGGCGAAAGGCTTACCAATGTCATTCACAGCGAAGATTCGTAGTCGGAGTTGTTTCCGCTACTCTCTGAAGCGCGTTCCCCAGAAGAATGCACATGTACAGAGAGAAGACTCCTTTTCCCGAGGCTCGTTTCTTGTTGTCTCGGCGGGGTAACCGAACATCGACGATACAGGTTTCAGTTTTGGATTCTTGATGAAGTACCCGCTCGGAGCACCGAGACACCCGACATGAAGGACTCGATCGATCCGTCCCTATCCGATCAAGCAAGTTTCAACGGCTCGGGAACCGAAACACAGTGAGCACGCAGGCATCCTCAGCTGCGACAGGTCACAGAGACAGGTGACTTCTGTCCCCGCCCAATCACAAACACCACCACCAGCAAACAGCACGACTACAGATGAAACCCACCGACTGGCAATTATCCCCCCCCCTACGCCTGTGAGTATCTGTTTATTTCGAGTTTTTTTGGCGTCTCGCGCCAAGTAGGAGCCACAGGGCTTCATCCGCGAGTTGAGTTCGAGTTATCGCGTTCAAATCAGCGCCGTCATTTTCCTATGGTTACAGAGAGAGCATCGAGACAGGGAGCCTAAATCCTTCTAGATTGCGCGGCCGCTGACGAGAAGAGAACAATTTACTCTTTGAAAACCATACCTGGTAAGTGTTCTGCTGAAGTTGCTCCTTCCAGTCGGCGTCTGGCTTGCACTTGTCGAGAGCAGGCTCCTTCGCCAGTCGGGTGTGCTTCGACGTTGCCGGCGGCTTCCAGAACTGCATGTTCAATGCTGACGACTGGCGTTCGTTGTTGTGGTCGTAGTCGTTTCCGTTGCCGTCGTCGTTGTTGTGGTGGCGTTGGTGGTGTCGGTGTTATCGATGTGGTGTTGTTGTGGTAGTGGTGATGGTGATTGTTGTTGCAGTTGTTGCGGTCGTCATTGTTGTTGTGTTTTGCATGGGTCGGTCGTTTCGACGTTGCACAGCATCCATCGCACCAACGACGGGCGAACGACGCACAGGCCACAAGACAAAGGCAGGCGCGAGGCATGACGCCATAAATAGCAATTCGTCGGACGTGGGGCGGTTTTCGTGTTTCGTTTTGAACTCGTCTGTCGATGCGCCGCCAGCATAGAACCAACCACAAAACACCATCGCAGTTGTAGGTAAACGGGTCGAAAGTAAGCCAAGACAGCTCCAGCGGGGGGCTTATCGTTCGGCCATCAAGACCAGAGTGTGGCATGTACCGTTCCTTCAGTAAAATAGCCGACAGGAGTTGTAGTGGAACACAGATTCGGCGAACGGATAAAACTAGGGCTTGGTTCTGCCGTTGTAGCTGGCCCGGCGCTCGGCGGTAGTGCCAACGCCGTACACAGCCAATCGTGCAGTCTCAGCTCTGGCAAGCAAGTGCCTAGCTCGAAGATTCGTCCTGCAAGGTTAGAGCATGTGGTGACGGGCAAAAACTGCAGTCGGTCCGCTTTTTTCCCAAGTCAGTAGCACACCCTCTCCTCCTCGGGCACATTCCAAAGAGATACGCCCACGGTTAAAACAACAAGAGGCACAGCAAGGCAAACGTGAACATGTCCGGTTCTTCCCACCACCCCCTCCCTGCCTGCACCGTTCCGCCTGCAAAGGGTCGGGCGGGTCTCAGCTAAGGCCAGTTCTCTTGGACAACTCTCCGATTCGGAATCGGGAGGTGCCGTGGGAAGCGTGGTACAACCCCTAGGCAGCCAATGTCTGCAAAAAGGCGGCTAGAAAACACGTTGACACGCGATGCTCGCCTCATACGAGACCTGTTTGCAATCACAACCTTCGAGGCTGTATGTTCCACCGTTGTTGGTTTCGCGGAGCAGAGTTTGGGAGCTAAGGTGCGAATGCACGCACGTGTGTTAAAACAAAGAGTTCCAATTTCGCGATTTTGGAAATCCCATATGGACTTGGCCATGACCGAGGCATGCTACTACGCTTAAGCTTCCCAAGATCGGCTCGAGAAGCTCACAGCAGTGGGGCATACAATGCAGCCTCGAGGGTTTGATTGCAAACGAGTACCCGTGGAGCGAACACCGAGTGCCCACGTGTGTTGTCCAACCGCTGTCCGCAGACCATCTTCTTCTTTGGGGAGGTTACGAAAAAAACCAACAGCACCGCCGGATTCCAAATCGGAAATTTTACCATGACAACCTGCCCTTACGCGAGCTCACCCGATGGACGCTACGGTGAGCGGCGCTGGTGGTCGAGCCAACGCGGGACATAGCAGCAACAGGTCCCGACGTAGGCACGAATGCGGATGCGCTGAAGAAAAGCACCCCCAAGACAGGGGATGCCGGGGAAGACGCGGAATGCGTGACGGGGGGGGGAGGGGGGGTTGGTTGGATGCTATCGGCGACTCGAAAGCGAACCAGATATGCTTTTTGGTTGTGTGTTGTCTGAATACTCGACCCCACAATGGTACTGAGACGGCAAGGGGGGGCGATAGAGTAAGAGGCCAAGGCATGTCGTGTCTGTAAGATTGCCTGGAGGCTTACACAGCGGCGTTGTTTTAGCACCAAAGCATGAAAACGTTTCTTTCAAGTCAACGTATTTTGACTGCGGATCAACTCGGGGCTATGGTTGACGTGCCGGTGCCGCTTGTCCCGAAAGCGTTTGATGCACCCAGACCTGAGATAGCACCTACTCCCGGCTTACAGACCCTGCACGAACACCGTTTACCATCCAACAGCGACCTCCAGCTACTGTAGGTCGATTCCAAGCATCACCAACCTAGCACCTACCCACGCCACGTACCAACCTAGCACATCAAAAGGCAACACCAACCTTCAGCACATGCATCGGCGACACCCACCTTAGCACCAAGGCCGGCTCACCGACCTATCCACCCAACGCCAACCTAGCTGTCACGTGTGGGTTGCAGCTAGGGGACTGTAGGTCTACAAGTATAGAGCTAAAGCGTCGGCGTCTTCGCGTCCCGGCCATCTGCCTGAAAACCACCAAGTACTGCTGTGTACCTGACCGGCGTGTTCCATGGTCGAAGGGATGGACAACCCCCCTAGGACCCTAGGTTACGAGAGTTTTCTCTTGTTTTGTTGCCCTGCATGACAAGTGTTGCGTTTCCGTGCACGAAGAGTTCGTAATATCTTGTCTGCGTGCATGGCATCTTGCGCCCCCCTGTGTTCATGACAATATTATCGCGCTTGCCCGTCTGAAACAATTCGTGTCCCGGGTTACTTGTATGCTTCTGGGGCACGATTCGCGTCCCAGTTATTTCGTACTATGTTCTTTCGAGTCAGGCATCCCCCACAGCATTAGTAGCATGGATCGCTGGAACACATGCACGCGGTGCTAAACGCGGCTTGGTGCCACGCTGAGAGTAACGCGAGGCCGGCGTGAAACAGATTCAAACCACACGCATGTGACTATTTTGTGCGCGAGCACGAAAAGCTCATGCACGCAGGCAGCAGTGGTCGGTGGGTATCGTACAGGCTGTCCGCCAAACCATAAACCGCTGCTGCTGTCGGTGTCGGTGGACACGTTGTACACTCTGATGGTATGATACCTATATCTACGACTCTTCGTCAGTACACGATACTGCTGTGTGGTAAACAAGAGACAGACGAAAAAAACGTGTGGTGTATTTGGATATGTTGTGGCCTACCCGCGGTTTCACCCGTCACGGCCAACTCAATTCAGCTTGTAATCAAGACAGCAGCAGCTGACAGCTCAGCTACAGCAGTCACCAAACAAGCGGGAAAACGCGATGACATCAGCACTGGTCAGTCTGTTGATGCACATGTCATTCAATCCGACAAGCAAGCTCTACAATCCTGTGCGAGCTTGGAAGCTTACCTCCGAAGAAGCGCGATTGCGGTAGCCAATTGGGTGGAAGGCCTCATGATCACAGAGGAAGGTACTGGGCAGAGCAATGTGCTGTTTAGAGCGGTGAGTTGTTGCAGAAACCACAGCAGAGAGGAGCAACATAGGGGGGACTGCGGTGTAGAAACGGCATGTGCACCCCTCGGCGGTGAGTTGCATCCGTGCACAGCGGTGAGTTGCCACACCACACCACAGCAGGCCAGGCGCCGTAGACAAGTGCAACAAGCGGGGAGAGCGCTAACACGCTTAGACTCTATCGTGGGTGCAAATCGGTAAGTGTGCGACGAATTTATTCGGTTCCCATCGTAGGGCGTTGCAACTTGTTCTCTCATACTCCAAATGTCTGTGTTGCACTCTGTATTGCAGCATCGTAGACTACAGGACTGCTGTTGCAGTAGCGCACTGCTGCAGTTTGTATCCTATGAGGCAAGCAGGAGTACCCTCTGCGTTGTTCCAACCAACAAGTTGACGTCGCACTTCTCCGTACCTCTACGCCTCTACATGCAAATCCTTCCTCTGTCTCTGCTGTCTCGCGTGCTGCGGGTGTGCGTTTCCATCTCCTCACCTACATACAAATGTAACGTAGCTGCTGAGAAGGAAAGCCTGCAAGGGACAACAACCAGCGGCGCGCGTCTCCGCCACTGCAACAGCAGCACAGAGGACCCGGCTGGATTGTTTCTATATAATTTGCTCTGCTGTTGGGGCCACCGCGTCTGCCGCTACTGCCGTACCTCAACAAACGCAGGAGAACCTGCCGCTGGAGCTCCATTTGTTCCGCTTCTCTGTGGGGTGTCCCAACAGAGAGGATGTCGTCCACCATGCGATCTCCGGAGATATCGCGCTCCCCGGCGCGAGTCGCGGGTGCGGGCGCGGGCGGGAGGAATCTTCAGTCGATCGGGAGACAGCGATCGCTTGTGGAAGACCACCCAGATAACGAGAGGATCCCCGCGAGAACAGTGTGCGCGGCGTTCTCTCTCCTCGTCCTCGGACTGGTGAGCAGCAAGGAGGCGTGTAGGTCATGTAAGATACCACACACCCCTGCGGACGGATTGTCAGAGCTCGATTACTCCACCACGAAGAGGATGACAGGACCAAAACATGCGTCTTCGGAGAGCTCTCGAGGAGATGGGTCCAGTGCCGCAAGTTTCGACGCCGCCACTACTGTTTTTGATGCGGAGAAATCGAGCTTTGACAATGGCCCAAAGCGGGTGTGGTATCTTGTGCAACATTCGCGTACGGTAGAGCATTTACCGCTTTTGCCACCGATACACGTTTCTAGAAAATTACATAAAAACACAGAAAGACTACCCGTTCGAGATATGTAACCACACTAGCGGAAGGGGGTGCGTTGAAGTCTTGCCAGTGCGTGGAAGAAAAGCCGGTTGGCTTCTATTGAGTCTGTTTCCCGTCGCCTGGGTTCAGCTTGAGAGGTCAAGACAAGAGGGAGGGAGGGAGACCGAGAGGCAAAGACCTTTGAGAAGACAGAGACGCGGCACAGAGAGGGGGGAAGTGGAAGCGTGCTGCGTAGGATTTTATCTCTTCGACTGGACGTGACGAGTGGTCGCACGTTGATTCGCTGAGTAGAACTAGTTGCCGTGCTTGGAGGATGTTCCTTGCTGGGAGTGCCGTGGGTCTGTGGAATGCACATGATAGTTCTATGTTGCAGGCAATGTAACGTGTTTCTCCGAACAAGCACAAGACGATTCGAAACCCTGGCCCGTGCAGGCAAAGCGCCTGTTAGCTGGTGCCGGTGCCATCCCCATGCCGTTCAAGTTTCGTCGCGAAGACGATGCTGCTGCTGCTGCTGCTGCTGCTGCTGTTGTCGTCTCTGCTCAGAAGTACCCTCATATTGCCATGCAATCACTCGAAGTCAGTACCCTGACCCTGGAACATTCGACGGACGAAGGCTGGGAGGATAGCGCTTTGACGCGTTTCTAAGTACCTCTGTAGGATGTATATGCTGCCACACGTAGAACCGTGGTGTTTTGCACGAGGTGTGTTCTGCAGGGCAAACGCGTGCGTGTTGGTTCGGGAGCACGATCCGGCGCCCAACGGTATTGGTGGCTGACCTGCCGGGCGCGCGTAGGCATCGGGCGGGTAGAACAAGTGTGCATGGCGTAAAGACGGCAAAGAAGTGCCGAAAGCTGTCCAAACGTGCTGCCTCTCCTCGTCACTAAAAGTAGTTTTTGACTTGGCGTTGAGCATTTATTTTGAGAGCCCACACGGGATGATCATTTTTCCTGTGTTCCCATCTCCCATTCTGGTTCGCGCGCGCTGTTTCAGATCCTGTTGTGCGTGAGCGCAAATTTCTTCGCGATGAAACACCCTGGTTCGATTGCCTTCTTAGTGCTCGGAATCGTCGGTAAGTGCAATCCTCTTCGTGTATGTGGGGAGGGGGGAGAGAAGAAGAAGAACGACCTTCGCTCCTCGCAATCGCCGACCCTTGGAGGGCGCTTTTTTGCGTGCTCGTCCTTTCGCGGCTATGTTGTATTGCGTCTCCAAAACTGAAAATAAAAATATACCCAAATCAAAACACAAACAATACACACACAATAAGAAAACGTTTATATAATAGTACCGCGCGATTCATGTATGTATGTACGCCCCCTTACAATCCAGGCTGTGATTGTGTAGGCTGCCGCAATAGGGAGTTAGTGTGCCCACATTACGACCTTCTTTTTTCGTTTTGGAACTCTGTGGCGTTGGGCATTTTAGGGCCGTGCGCCTCCCGTTCCTTGCACTATGTAATACGAAGTACAATATGAACATGTACCGAACGAGTTGTCACTGCGCATTTTTTGGCGTGGTCACGTTGGTTTTTGTTCTCCGCTCCTAGCCGGTGCTGCAACATCACGGTAGTACAGTAGCGCCCAACGTCGTCACCCAAGCCTGCCGCCGCCGCACACCCTTTCCGCATCCCCTGCTGCAACCTCCCCTCCAGTGCAATCGATGAGAAATGCTTGCGCCCTTTTGTCATGGTGCCTATTTTTATCTCTGAAAACCTCCTACCATACCTTTGAGGAGTAACTTGAAATAAGAAAATAAATAAAGTTTTGAAGAGCAAGTAAATTCTATTGAAGAGTTTTTTTTTATTGTTTCCTCGTTGACGACATCCCCCAATCCGCCTCCGCTCGTGCGCGCGCTCAGTTATCATTCCGGGGGCGCATAGCAGCTTTCAGCTCTTCGCGGCGTTTCGACGATGGCCCGGGTACGACTTCGATGACATGCGCGGGAGCGGAGATTATGTTTGATTGGTTTTCTTTTTTTCAGCTTCTTGTGTACGGAAGGGTGAGTGCTAAGGCACGGTGGAGGCAGGGGGGCGGGGGGGGGGACGTACCCCACCTGGGGGAAGGAGGGGGGGAGGTCGCTGCCATGCACTGCTCGCCGCAAGTGTGTGGTACTGTATACGCTCAAACCCGCTACAAACAGTTTGACAGAGCGTGCCTGGGGAATGGTTGGGGGGCTGGGGGAGAAGGATGCCCGGAGAGCGCGCGCGTATTTGACGCGGCGGCACCGTCATTGTGATTTCTTGAGCTGAGGCGTGTGGCGAAGAATGAGGCCGCGGTGAACGAAAGAGGCAACTGCTGTGACGTCACTGCTCTTCGGAACAATTTTTGTTTTTTAAGACCCTTGGCACTGAAGACGGGTACACCGCGGTGAGAATGTATCCCCCAATCGCAAGGACCTTGTCGTTGTGGTGGCGTGTCCAGGTCGGCATTTTGATGTCGGCAGGCAGGCAGGCGCCGCCATTTTTTTTTCTTGTTTTTTTTTTGTGTGCTTTTCTTGTGTTGTTTTCGAATGTGCGGGTTGCTGTTGGAGGAGGTAAAACTGACACGCTTAGATGGGCATTTCCTCCTAGACCATGATTGCCATTTTCTGGCCATGCTGTAGCGCAGGAAACAGCAGTAACGCATATATATATACATACACGTCCTTGTCCGTAGGTTTGGCTGGGTCCGCAGCAAACCAAATAGGTGGTGCGCCACGTTCATTTGTGAATTTCGGCGTGGAATTTCTAGCTAGCTGTATTCGGGTCATTGTTTTAGCTGCCACGTGTGGGGTATAAGTCAGCAGCATCCCTCGCCTGACTCTCTCGCGCCTGTTTTGTATGGAAGGCGATCGTCGCTTTGCGATTCGCTACTTTTTTGTTGAGTACCAGGCACGCAAGTTGTTTGCTGTCCTTGTAATGCTGGATTGTGTTGTAGGAGGGTTCGTGTTGGCTTCGTTTACCCGCTGGGCTTTTTTTTTTTTAGTATTTTTTTTTCCCGCTGGCACCCCACAATAAAACATAACAAAAAGGTGTCATGGTGTGAGTGGTGGGTTTCGATGGCGTGTGTTTCGTGTGCTGTGTGCCACTGGCTGTGTCGGGGAATGATTTCGTTACATTTAGGGTGATTTGATGTGGTAGCCGTTGGGAAAGGCATACATGTGCCTACCCGGTGCCCGTGTGTATGTGCAAGCCAATGCCAAGCAACCAACCAGGTTTGCTTCTTTTTTTGTCATGTCTCCTTTTTTTTTGTGCCCGCCCGCGAAAAACGAACTATGAGGGTTTACATGGCGCATCTCTTTGAAACAAAAAATCAAAAACCAAAAACAAGTTGAAACCAACAGAGAACGATAGCGTAAAATCAGCAGCATCCGATCTATTCAAGAAACAATCAAAACGAAATCCGAAAAAAAAAACACATACTGTTTGTAAAACAACCCGCAACAAACACAAAAAGATTACAGACGACCGTAACCTTGCCACAGGCACTCGTCCCACACAGCCTTCACACAACAAACGCCGAACAAAGCGTGCTACTCACGAGCGGGAGGTAGGGTGGGAGCGAAAAGTCCGCGTACGGCTGTACATGCTGCCGTCTTTTTTCTTCGTGCCCCTACTTGGACGACACAAACGTCGTTCAGGCCAAGATGTCGTGTGATTGCGGGAGGGGGGGGGGCTATAATAAACGCACCCACAAGCAAACGCCAGCCCCCAGAAGAACGGGGTCGAGATATCGAGACAAAATATTACTACGTCTTGGTCTACTACTGCGTGCGGCGGCGGGCCTGCAGGCGGGCCAACTTGTGAGATAAGTATCTATCTTACCGCCGCCACCGCAGGTGGCGGGCTTGTTCGTGATACGAACGTGGAAATCAGGCCGCCGGGTGGACTAATATTTAAAAAAAAAAAAGCAAAAACAAGTATATCTTGGAAACCTACTAATACTGTAAGCCACCTGTCGCCCTGTGACTCTTTTTTATTTTTGGTTGAACAACGCAAGCCTTGTACGGTGATTTTTGTAACAAAACCAAGACAAGCTTTCCCCGCCCCCAGTCCTATCGATTGGTGCCCGACCCGGGCGACACCTACCTAGGCACGTGTGTGTGCGGTCGCCCCGCCCTGCAGGATGACAAACTTAAAAAGGTGGACACCAGGGCACCTCTTCTCTCGCACCAGACCCTACAAGCGGGCGTGCATGCATGCGTGAACAACGTACGTGTGTGATGGTAACCCACCGCTTGGTCTGT